CTAGCATAGAAGTAGCATTAAGCTCGGTGGATGTGACAACTGCTGAACAGGTTAAAGCGCAGTGTGCATTAGCACTTAAAAAACAAAAGAAGACACAGCGAAACTTAACGAAACTGGAAAATTCAGCTTTAAACAATCTACGAAAGGATAATAGTATAGTAATTGCTAAATCTGACAAAGGTAACTCAACAGTAGTTATGGACAAATCGGATTATCTTAAAAAAATGGATGAACATATCCAAACAGGGCCATATGAAGAGATTAAGAAACCTATAGATACTGTCATGAATAAAATTAAGAAATCTACAACAGATCTGATACGCCGACTGAAGCCATCTCTAGGTAAGTCCGAATGGTTTACTTTAATGCCAAAAACTAATAATCCTAGCAGAATTTACGGTACTATTAAGGTTCATAAAGCAGGTTATCCCATTAGGCCGATAGTTGACTTCCGAAACACACCAACATATGAGATATCAAAGTATTTAGCATCAGTATTACGTCCTGTTAGAGACCGTTCCAACTCTAGACTAGTAAATTCTTACGAGTTGAAACAAAAACTTAATGACCTGCACATAGAAGAGGATGAAAAAATGGTTAGTTTTGACGTAACAAGTCTTTATACTAAAATACCAATCAATATGGCACTGGAGGCAGTCAGAAATCAACTAGATACTGACTCACAACTTACTCAAAGAACCAAGGCATCGGTTGGTGAAATCATGTTAGGAGTGCAGTTATGCTTAACCTCGACAGTCTTCAAGTTTCAGGGAAAGATATACAGACAAACAGAAGGAGTAGCAATGGGATCACCAATATCCCCTATAGTAGCAGATATATTTATGGATAGTTGGGAAGATATGGCTTTACGAACATATAATCCGACACCTAAGATATGGTGGCGATATGTAGATGACACATTTACAGTGTTGAAATCGGAACATATCGACAGTTTCTTGACACACATAAACTCAGTAGTTAACGCAATCCAATTCACCTACGAAGTAGAAAATGAACAAGGAGAATTACCTATGTTGGATTGCAGAATAAAACGAAGGATAGATGGTGGTTTAGATACTACCGTCTACAGAAAACCAACACATTCTAACAGGTATCTAGACTTCAAGTCATCTCATCCAGTGTCAGTTAAAGCGGGTTTAGTCAAATGTCTAAATAACAGAGCTGAGAAACTCACTAGTCATTGTAAGGACTTAAATAAGGAATTGAAACACATAAAAGAAGCGTTAATAACTAATAATTATCCCCATCATTTTATTAAGAAATTCACACGGACGCATAAGAAGCAAAATAATAACACTAATACAAATACAAATAATAGTGACAACATAAGTAGAAAGGAAATCAGCACCTCTATTGTGATACCATACAAGGAAGGAACATCAGAAACCATACGTAGGATTCTCAACAAGGTTGGAATTAGGGTGGCATTTAAACCAACAAACTCACTTAGAGGTAAGCTGTGTCGGCTAAAAGATCCGATAGAACCAATTAAGCAAAATAATATAATCTACCAAATTCCATGTAATGACTGTGAAGTCAAATACATAGGTCAAACTAGCCGGTCGGGGTCAGTTAGATTAACAGAACATAGGAATTTAGCTAAACATAGAACGACAGACCCCAATAAGATCAATAACCTAGAAAAACACTCAGCCATTGCATTACATTCATTAACACACAACCACACAATAGGATGGGACAAAACCACTGTACTTAAGTCTAATATAGCTAGGTGGAGAGAGAGATTAATTACTGAATCTTTGTTCATCGAATTCACACCCAACACATGTAATAGGAATGACGCAACACCTATACCAGAGATATGGAAAACTTTACTACCAATCAAAAAACAAAAAAACAAAGAGAGATCAGGTGACAGGACTATAAAATCAGATGTCGAAAGAAGTGTGATTACATTGATATGATTATGAGCAATAATTTATGCTCGAAACGTAATCAAGTAAATAATACTGTATCACTGTGCGCTTTATATCAAATAAACAAATCTAGTATGGAGATCTCCATTCTCTTTCATCATATCACTGAGTGCTTCTCGACCCATGATAAGTTAGTTCTCTTCCTGTGTTGTCCGCTCCCAGTTTGGCATTCATGTCACCCAACCGATTAGTATTTTGATGTCGCCATTTGTAGTGAGGTCTTGTCCGTTACTGATTGCAGTTGTCTGTAGGCTTCCTCCTTCTTCTCTTTGTCTGCATGATTAGTAGGTGCGTAGCATTGTATGACTGTGACTTTCCTTAATTCCGAGTTGAATCTTGCTGTAATGATGCTGATGCTGGAGGAGACTGGTTTCCAGTGCATGAGAGAGAGCCTTCGATGCTGTTTAGGACATCATGATAGCCACTCGACAACTTAGTTTGCTCGTGGTTGTCGTGTGGGTAACAATATCGGAGTAGATTATTGACTTTCCAGTTGCAGTTTGGAGAGTCCACTTCCATTCTATCTGCTTTCGCAGATTCCAAGCACTTCTACGTCATAGCTTCCCATCTCTTTGGCAATCTGGGCAGCCGTGCTAGGTTCATATATGGTGCGGACATTCCATGTCCCCATGTTTATTTCGCTTTCGTCGAGAGTGGGAGGGGACAATTGGCTTCCCGAAGTCTTTCACCAACTGACGTCATTTCGCCTCTCCGATCCCAGCGAGGAATAAGTTTATTTTTATTTCTTATACTTCGTTTATGCTTTGAAGTTTTTTTAGCGGTTGCATTGGTTTTTCGGGGTAGAGTTATCACCCCTATGCACAACCTTTCCTGTTTATCCGGGCTTAGGACCGGGTAGTAACTAGTGAACTAGTTAACCAGACGAGGTTGGCTATGTATAGATAGCGCTAAAATGTGGGCGGATTATGAATGTAAGACAAGAATTAAGTGCAAAATTGAGTTCCAGATACCATGAAGTATGGTTGCTGCCTGTCACTTACGCGGTCCTTATATGATTATGCCATTTGGTACCTCTTTCTTCTATACGGACATTTTCGCAACTCAAAATTGCCAGTGCACAGACAGTGCAGATTACGTAGGTTACTAGATACAAGGCTGTGGTGTTTCGCCAAAAAAGTTGTAACTGGTACTTTTAAACAAACCCATCACACCGAAATATGATGCCATGCTGGTCTGAAAGTCATCATCCGTTTCTTTTAATCGGATTTTTAGTCAAATGGTAAACCAGATTACAACAGGTCATGTGAACAGGTTTAAAACTTCTATCTTTATATAATTTTATTTCCTGCAATATATGCGTAGGTTTAAGGCTTGCCAATTAGCAGAATTCATGTACTAGTTTATTTGAAAAACAATTTAGGAAACCCCTCAAAAACGTTGAAATGAAAGCTTGGTTGGTATTAGTATGATTATGGTACGTCTTTATAGATTGTCCTAATAGTTATTTGCTTCTGTTGACCTCATCGTCATTTGGAAGCATTTGAAAGTGATTTGAGTAGTGATAAAACTTTGAAGACTGTGGAAGTTACTATTGTTAAACCAACATCACTAATACTAAAAAGTTAGAAAGAAATGACACTGTATAATTACTGCAACTATTGTTTAACACTGACCACTCCATGTATGTGTGAAGTCGTCAACAACTTGCCCATTGTAAATATCTAGTACCCAATCTTATGTACGCAGTGTTGGAATGTGCACTGTCTAGAAGTATTGTTCGTGTTTGTGTAGGTTGACTGCATCTAATATTAAAGCATTATCATCACTTATTATCATTTCCGCTTATTTGTGACAACTGTGTTTGTTTGACTTTTGTAAGCTATTGTTTTTTTCTCGAAATACAGAAACAATTGATCATTGAATACTTCAACCAAGGGTATTTTGAAGTTGTTATTTATGCAAATTAGCATACGGATTCTATGCAAATCGCCTTGTAGTTTTGATAATTCTAAATGAAACTAACCTTTTTATATGGTTTGGCGAGTTGTTTACGCTTTGTAATCCATAAGCAATTATTGACAAAGTTTATTTTACTGTCTCATACAGATGACTAAGCATAAGTTTAGTTATGGTAAATTTCAGTGGGAATAGGAAAACGGTATGAATCATGTACGCACAATTATGCAAGTAGTTTCAGCAGATATTCAGTTCGAAGATATCGCTTGTTACTGGAGTGTATTCTTTCCGCGTAGTATTCAGAATTCTTGACCAATATACGAATTCTGATGTACTGTTCATTTGTTTACTGAGGTTCGATTATTCGAATGGTATCATAGGCTTTCAGACAGTCTCGCAATAGTAGTAAGTGCATCAATATAGGACGGATAATACATCCCAATAAAATGGAGCAAAACAATACTGAAAATGTAGAAAGCCTTACTGATATATGATTTCCGTAAGATTTTTCATGCGTAATACTTTCCTGATAGCAGAAAGCACCATATGATATCTGTCGGTCCAGATGACTTTTACGACCCAGACACATACTAGTTTTCTGGATAAATAGTTGAAGTAATACAGTTGCATGGAACATTACGCTGTAAAAAGAACCTCACTCTTTCTTCATATTTGTTTAATTTCTTCGTGTGCTGTTTTAAAAAGTTAGGTTATGCTAAATATTCACGTTTGGAGTTTGTCCGGTTTTTTGGAAGCGTTATGTCTCAGAGAATTGAGTTTGTTCATGTTTAGCATATTTTTGATGACAGTAAAAGGCTTAAACAGTTTCATTTTGCATGTTACGTAGTGATTAGATCGTGAAATCACAAAAGGGGAAATTCCTTAGTTTGATTGCTTTTTAAGGCATTTTTGATTTCGATAGCAGGTATTAACACCAATTAGTTGTTAGTCAGCTGACTGAAATTACGTGGTTATGCAATGCTTTTATAAGTTTCAAAATTGGCTTTTAAAATTTCAAAATTTAACCTTTTGTATTGAGATTATTGTCTGATCATCATAGTTCATTCTGGTTTTAAAGAGCTTTTCTTGTCATTTCGTCTAGTAATTGATTTTTACTTTTTGTAGGTTGCAGATGCCATTTTGGGTAACCAAATGTTTTCACACTATGATCGAGCGGCCATTGCTCAATTGTGCGAGAAAGCTGGATTGTTGCAACGCGCTTTGGAACATTATACTGACCTTTACGATATCAAGCGAGCTGTTGTCAGTACTCATTTATTAAATCCTGAAGTAAGTATGTTGTGGAGAGTAATAAACTGCTCCAAGGTTAAAAATATGAGTAGCCTGTAGTAGGATGAAACTTTAGATTTATCTGTCTTCAGCAAAAAATAACTTTCTGCATATCAGTTCTTAGAAAAGATAAGCATTTCCAGGTGTATAATTTTGTAGAATTAATCTTCTATTTTCTGTCTTTCTGAAGGTCATCAGTGAAAATAAGACAGCTTTATTTGGCCATGCGTTTCGCATTAAAACCCCGTATATGCGCTTTATTTTTCTCTCACTATTCAAATTTGGTCTGTTGAAGTGAATGCTCCTTATACGGTTTATTTTATCTGGAAGGGCACTTGATAGAATTCATATTGTCATGCTTTTATATAGCTAAACGATTCGTTTTAAGTTACGCAAGCAATATATGACAAATGCCATATTCTGAGTTTCAAGGAGAGTGTCTTAGCTATTTCTGGACGTTTGAGTTTTTGTACACCCACTCGTCTACAACCTTGTTGTCCTCAAATGTAAGTATGTGCTCCTTTTCGTTCAGTGTGAACATGGCATATCTTCTATACGCCTTTCCGACTCACCTTCCTACAGCCTTATTCCTTCAGAAGTCAAGTTTTAAATGTCATTTAGTTCACAAGAACTGTTCACTGTATGACTACCTAACGCAATTTTCGTCGTTTTTAATCACAGCAGTTCCATCTTTTATAGATTATTCTTCGGATTTATGTTTTACTTGAAGTGTTAGTCATTACTTTCGCTAAACGACACGTGTCGTAGACAAGGTTGGAGACGATTGAGACAAGGGATTCACTTCAACTCTTATGAGAAAAGCATGAAACCAATGTCCTCGCATGTTCCGTCTCTAAATTGTCTTTAAATATCAGAAGTCTTAAATAACTTTTGAAATCATGTCGGTATAGATCAGCCGAAGTTGGGTTCTGTCTACGGAAGGAGTCGAAGACTGTGGAAACTTGAGTTCCGTCTCTGAAATCTTTCTCAACTATAAATAAGGATTGAAATTGCCATTGATTCACATATTCTTATACATGGTTGTTCTCAGGTTTATATGCTTTCAAGGTGGGTTAAACATTTAGCGTTCGAAGTATTAAGCTTAGATTTCTCGTTATTCCATCTTCCTTAGAATGGTCTTCACCACATTTATCTTCCTTCGTGCATTCCTGGACGCTTCAGATATCTAAAGTTACTGAAAGCAGAGATTCAAGATGCAGGAATTGGCCGGATTTTGACTTTTTTGAAGTCTCATTCAATGTAGTGTCAAAAATGAAGTATCTTCTTGGTTTCCAGCTTTTCGTTTCCTTCTGTTCACTTGATAATTTCCTTCTCAAAACAGGTTTTGAGTGTGATAACGTTTTGAATCAAGTTGTCCTTTCACATTACTATGAACATGTTTTTTTGATATCTTATTGACTTCAATGATATGTTTCGCAACCGGAGAACTTGGACGTCTGCTACCAACGTTTGTGGGTTCAGGTGATTTAATTTGCTTCTGAAGCCACTTTGGAATATGTTCTAAGGCTCTTACTTGCATGGGTTTATGATTTTTTCCTGTTTATGCCACCACATTTGCTTCAGAAGCAGATTAAATCACCTGAACCCATAAACGTTGGTAACAGACGTCCAAGTTTTTCTATCGCGAAACATATCATTGAGACAGGTCACAGAATTGACGTGGCTACTTCCTTCAGACCTATTATTTACTTGTTTTGCCCAAAACAAGCTCGGTGCATGGGGACCATAATAGACGCCAATAAAAATAATATAGCAACACTATGAAGACAAACATGCTTTACCGAACAAGGTAAGAAAAGACGTAGATGGGAGCAACAATCGATTATTAAAGAGGCCGTCTCAGACATAAGTTCAAAGAAGCATTCTCTGCCTTAGTCTCAATTTTTAGTACTAGAAAAGACTAGAAAATCTCAGCATGATCGCCACTTTTCTGTACTGAGCTGCTTATTTTAGCAAATATCTATTTATTAAGAGCTTTTATGAGGTACTTGTCTCGACGCCTTTTAGGAGTGTATACATTTTATGCGCCACCTTAAATGATTTACTTATTAACCTTTATGTATTCATACATTTTAAATTGACTTTTTTTTTACTACATCGTCGTAATTATCTGTGCTGTAAGCATCCGCTTATTTGTTCTATCATGGTTTTACAGGTTGTTCTTAATGTTTTTGTGTAATTCTTGCTTTTTTAATTGCATAGTGGCTTGTCAATTATTTCGGTTCTCTTTCTGTCGATGATTCATTGGAATGCCTTAGGGCTATGCTACAGACCAATATCAGACAAAATCTCCAAGTTTGCGTTCAGATTGCCACCAAGTATCATGAGCAGTTAGGAACAAATGCTTTAATTGAAATATTTGAGTCTTTCAAATCATTTGAAGGATTGTTTTACTTTTTGGGATCAATCGTTAATTACAGCCAAGAGCCTGAAGTTCATTTCAAGTATATCCAAGCTGCATGTAAGACTGGGCAGGTTAAAGAAGTGGAACGTATTTGTCGCGAAAGCAACTGCTATGAACCGGAACGAGTTAAAAATTTTCTCAAGGTAATGTTCTTTATACCTTACAAATATTATTCAAAGAGCAATACTAATATTGTAGTATAAAGTTTCAGTATATTCATACATACTTAGAAGTGGTTTTTCTCTTCCAAGAGTACATTATTGTTAACAGGGGTGTATAGTATGAGGCAGATATCTTATGAGTTGTTTTGGTTTATCGCATAGATGAACTAACAAGGTCGTCGAGTTTCTACAAATTGTTCCTGCACAACTAGCAACTGAAATTTCTACGGTGAATGTCACTTGTAGCCGTTGAATATATTTATCTCATTTAAGTTTTGTGGAAATATTGCATGCAGAAAGTCACCTAGGACACTAGGATTTTGATAAAGCAATAAGAAGACTTTGTTTGTCTGAATCGTGTAATGTATTTGCGCGCAACATTTCAAACAATCTGGTCATTAATATAAAAAATTACAGAGTTCAGGGGTAGAAAGATAACTAGTGGTCAAATTAGAAGTTTATATTGAAAGTCAAAATCACAATAAAGAAACAGCACTAACCGTTTTTTTAATAGTACAATAACCATGGGTCTAAAGCCGAGTTTACCATGGGAGGTTTATTGTAGTGACAAGTTGTTTTTGAACACATGAAAGTGGCTTGAACCTCTGATGTCTAGTGCCTCAACAAACTTTAAAATACGTTTCCAACAGGTCTTATAGACAAGCTTAAACGACGTTTGTACATCCACTTTATTCCCCGTTTTATTTATGTTGAGGAACTCGGATGTTCGTTTCCAGCATCAGTTGGGTCAGGTGACTCTAGTTGTTTCTGAAGCTACTTTGGGATATGTTCTGTGGCCTTTATTTTCAATGACCGATGAATCCTCCCTATGTATATAACCACACGTACATTTAAATTGGTAAATACAATGGGGTGCGACTTCATCTTTCATCTGTCCCAAGGGCTCTGTTGGGTATACAGGCTTTGAATTTTCGGTTATCCGAACATAATGTTTTCTTTGTGGCAGCGTTAAGTCTCTATCAACTTATTCGCGTCGCCAATATACGGTAACTCAATGAAAACATCTTTTTTAGGGACAGAGTTGACAGTATTTCTCGATGTCCTGTCCTCCTTATACCGACTTATAAACTTCGTTGGGTAGTTGTTTTCAATTAGTGTCTCCGTCAATAATCTTGTTTTTTGTTCCAATGTTTCAGTTGTGCCTTCAATTCAGAACATTTAAAACGGTTAAATAGAAGTGTCACCGAACTTCAGATAAAAATATTCTTCTGATAGTAATGACAGTAGTGGCTAGCAGTGGAATCCAGGACGTATGTTTTGTCTTACGTGGGACTCATCAGCTGGATGTCCCTGTCTCCCAATGAGTGTTGTTCCCACTGAGTCACGGTAGCGATTTCAGTTTTTATGTTATTGCAAAATTACAAGCAATAGCATAAAGAAATATCCTCGTTATTGAAAAAGGTATTGTTTCATTCAACTATAAATGTGAAATGTGAATGTGTGCATGTTCACTTAATAGATGATGTTGTGTTATATCGAGGTTGGTTTTACAACCTGGCTGCACAGGCCCCGTAGGCGGAATGGAATACAAACGCGTAACCCAGTAGTTAAAAATTAATTTTCTACGCCAATGAATCACAGCTTCATTCAAACTACGGGTTGTAAGGGTCCCTTGCGCGTTTTATTGAATTATGGACACACATCATAAACCTGGAGTAATAATTTATTTTCCTATGGTTCAGTAAGTTGTTGGATGCTTAATTTTAATGTACAAACGACTCATTTCATAGTCAGTAGATTTATTTACGAAGTTATCCCTCGTTACCAAAAGTGTATGATGAATAAAGTGATAGTCAAATGGGGGCGAGGGAGAGGTGTTTAAAAGTTTTTGTGTATCTATAACTAGTCATAAAGCGTTTATGTACTAAATTCAGCAGCTAGACCGTGTTCGAATGGAACAGTGAAGTATTCTTTTTCTCAAAATAAGGTTGGGAGGTAAATGATAATGAACACATCCGTACTCAGCTTTCTGATTGTCACTTAACCTGGTATTTTATCACGGTTACACTGTATTCATTCTATCTCCTACCCTCAATACCTGCGAAAAATAAGAACTCATGAGACATGAAATCCTATCTTATCACGATTGTATTAAATACCTTTCAAGTCGACACAGTCTTATACCCATGCAGTTAGGATAGTTCATCAGCAGTATTTTAGTTTTTCAAATCGTTCATATCTAAATATTTTTAGTGACCGTTTTTCCTATGACAGTTACTTTTATTTACTGAGACGGTATAATTGGGCTTGTGTGTATTGTGCTTTCTAAGCTGTTGAGAGGAACGGCAACTACAGTCATTATCTGCCTTAGTTTCTGAGAAAGATAGCGCTTTTACTATAACAGATTTTGAACGTGAAATATTTTAATGTGAAATTTACCTTTCAAGTAATGTAACAGTTGGTTTTTTCATCTCCAGGAAGCGAAACTTACGGATCAACTTCCTCTTATCATTGTTTGCGACCGATTTGATTTTGTGCATGATCTCGTCCTTTATCTATTCCGCAACAATTTGCAGAAGTACATTGAGATTTATGTGCAGAAGGTTAATCCTGCACGTCTACCTGTGGTAGTTGGTGGTCTTTTAGACGTTGATTGTTCGGAGGACGTAATCAAACAACTGATGGCAGTTGTTCGTGGTAAGTTTCTACCCTTTTGATGTATATGCATGCAAAATATATATAACTAACACAGGATAACATATAAAATTGTTCTGTTACAGGTCAATTCAACACCGATGAACTTGTTGCTGAAGTGGAGAAGCGTAATCGACTAAAATTGTTGCTTCCATGGCTTGAATCGCGAGTACACGAAGGATCTGTAGAACCTGCAACACATAATGCTCTTGCAAAAATTTACATTGACCTGAATAACAATCCTGAACGTTTCTTGAAAGAAAATCAATATTATGATAGTGCTGTCGTCGGTAAATACTGTGAAAAACGCGATCCACATTTAGCTTGTATTGCATATGAACGTGGACACTGTGACCAAGATCTAATCCGAGTATGTATTGTAATACAATTCATCCTTTTCAAATTTTTACTATTAAATAAGGAAATGTTATAGAGCGTTTGTAGTTTTTTACAAGCCATCTACATTTTTTTCTATGAAACATCTATCTACACAGATTAGTACATTTTGTGATAGAACTCAGTTACCTTGTCATCAAGATGCAACAATTTTCAGGTGGTAACTAATATTTTTCTATTTTTAAGGTTTGTAATGAGAATGCATTATTCAAAACTGAGGCTCGTTACTTGGTTCGACGGAAAGAGCCTGAGCTATGGGCAGAAGCTTTGAGTGAAACTAATGCCTATCGCCGACAGTTGATCGACCAAGTTGTTCAAACAGCACTTTCTGAGACCCAGGATCCTGAGGAGATATCCATTTCTGTAAAGGCGTTCATGGCCGCTGATATGCCCAATGAACTTATTGAACTTCTTGAAAAAATTGTTCTGGACAATTCAATATTTTCTGACCATCGAAACCTTCAAAATCTCTTGATTTTAACTGCAATTAAAGCTGATAAAAGTCGTGTCATGGAATATATCAATCGTCTAGATAATTATGATGCTCCTGATGTTGCTAATATAGCTATAAATAATTCTCTTTTCGAAGAAGCTTTTGCCATTTTCAAGAAATTCGAAGTCAATACGTCTGCTATACAAGTGAGTCTTACTTTTTCATATAATGTGATGTGGATTCACATCGAAGATACGACTCGCAAGACACTTAGTATTACATTTGTCGTTTGCTCTTTTGTTTTTCTCAATATAACGTGGGAAGCAACACCGGTGACCTTAAGTTAATTATTTGAGCTGTGGCTAAGTGGTCTAAAGAAATGACCATCAACCAAGTCACGGGTTTGAGCGCCTGGCCCACCTACCGAGGTGCAAATAGCCAGGTAGTATCACTAGTTGTTACACAATAGATGTGGCTCATCGCCTACTGTACGAATGTACGAAAGGTGGTTGAGTGCTTTCCGTCGTCATTTGAGATAGAGATATCTAGTACAACAGATGGTAGTTAAACTAACTGGTACTCATCACAGTTGGACTTATTCCATTTTATAGCAGCTTTCACTTCTACCAACCTTCCTAGATTGCAAGTAGTTGAGTCGATAAATCTGTCCCACTACCTTGTAATTATGCACTCAGTGGTTGGTGCCTATGTATTAGATATTTACTCACTCTCTACATTACTAGTCCTTGTTCCATATTATAATTCTATAGAAAACCTTGGATTATACCTTAGTCACAGAAAGAGGTTTTTCATACTCGTCTGTCCCATGTACAGTTGGCTTCACACAGCAACTGGGCTTGGGTCATCTGCATTTTCGCCAGACAGCTGAAGACGGGTAGTATGTGACTAACACTGCAGAGTACAGGGTGGATTTGGTTGTGCCACTTGAGTAACTTTTTTTGGTAGATCTAACGTTGTGAGTTAGTGGAGGGTTTTATACTAAATATTTGATGTCTAATGGTTGAGTTATTTGCGTTGCGTTTTGCTTACGACAACTAGCCGAAATTCTTTTGGAAAGCAAAAGGATAATTGAATGTTCAGGATTGTATCAGTCTTAATCATATTAACAATTGTAGACTATCGAGTTTGAAATTTTGAGATGAAATTTGTAAGGATAAAGTGGGTACATGGTTGTGCAAACTCAATTATTGTAGTGTTTACTTTTCCTCTGTCTTGTATTGCCAAAAAGTGAGTCAACTTTAAACATTACGTACTTACATCAGGTTTTCATCTTAGGTTCATTTTGAAATTCCTCCGTTACATGTTATATTCATCTAAATTCTCTATTTTTATTAACGTTTTCTAGGTTCTTATCGATCATGTCAAGAATCTTGATAGAGCTTACGAGTTCGCTGAGCGTTGTAATGAGTCGGCTGTTTGGAGTCTTCTAGCTCATGCTCAATTAGCCCAAGGTTCCATTAAGGAAGCCATAGACTCCTACGTAAAGGCATCTGATCCCAGTCGATTCCAAGCAGTTTCCGAAGCTGCTTCAAACTCAGGAAACTGGGAAGATCTAGTTCGGTACCTCCAAATGGCACGGAAGAAAACTCGTGAAACATTCATTGAATCAGAGCTTGCCTTTGCGTATGCAAGAACCAATCGTCTCTCAGATCTGGAAGAGTTCATTTCTGGACCAAATCATGCCAACATAACCGCAGTAAGTTTTATATTTTGTTCACCACTTGTGTTTTCGAATTTGATGAGTTTTATTCCTGTACCTTTTTAACCCATTTGGACTGTTAAATTTTATAGAATCATACTGCATTCAAGCGTTCATTTTCGCATGAAGAAGTTTAATTGATTGCTGTATTTCTTTCAGGTAGCTGATCGTTGCTTCGATCATCAGTTATATGAGGCGGCAAAAATCCTTTACTCAAATGTTAGCAACTACTCTCGCTTAGCCATAACTTTGGTTCACTTAGGCGAATACCAAGGATCTGTGGATGCTGCTCGTAAAGCCAATTCAACACGTACATGGAAGGAAGTTTGTTTTGCTTGTGTAAATCATAAAGAATTCCGCTTGGCGCAGATGTGTGGTTTACATATCGTTGTACATGCTGATGAACTAGGTGATCTCATCAATTATTATGAACAACGTGGTCATTTTGATGAACTTATTCAACTTTTGGAAGCTGGTCTAGGTTTGGAGCGTGCACATATGGGAATGTTCACTGAACTGGCAATACTGTATTCAAAGTTCAAACCGGAGAAGATGCGCGAACATTTAGAGCTTTTCTGGTCTCGAGTGAATATTCCAAAAGTAATTTCATCATTTGCGTTCATATGACTCTTAATTTTCATTTATTGATATAATTAACTACATTTTTGCCTCATTCTAGTCATTTAACACTTGGCAAATAGTTTTGACATATCATGTTCCAACAGTTGTCTGTTATTTCTATCTTTCTATCCTTATTGTCACTGTTTTAGTTCATACGTGGATTCATTTTAGAAGAAGACTGAAATAATACGTTTCATCTTACTTGAAAGATAAATTCTGTAGCGTATGGACATCAAATTGATGCAAATCAATGAAGATATTAAGTAGGTACATAGAGAATAAATAGAAAAGGGGGAGTAGTTACACACAAGAAGCCTTCTTTCTCACCAGTGTTAAAATACCGAAGTACAACTAAGACTAACCGTTTAACAGTGTGAAACATAAAATTTCACCGGTTCTGGTTGCCACAGTTCATGATAGCACAAGAGACAGTACCACTGGGGTAAACTGGGGCTGTAAAATGAATGTAAACCGGATAAGGGTAATAAAATATGGAGAATTGAGAAAAATACAAAGGGCTAAAGTACCATTTACGATACAGAGTGAGCTCTAAGATCCCCGATGCTCTGACAATTGCTTGGTAACCTGACTATCCTTTATGTACTGACCACCTTTCCGCTTCCTTGTTCCACTTTGTGACCAAACTGATTTCTAAGGGCGATTTTATGTATCGAAAGGCGGTCTAGATTGTATCTAGACATTTAATATAGGATCTCAAAATTATCTGCACGGTATCGTCACTACGTACGAGGAATCTTGCTTAGTACTTGTGAGGTATAGAACTATCGAATGTCTTTAACGCAGTCTCGCATGTATAGAGCAGAACTAATCGCACCGAAACTCTACATCCAGCCTTGCACCGAAGTTGGTCAGAATCGATGTATGGGTACAGGTTTATGCTATTCATACTGAATTATTTTAGACTTTGAATTTTATCGCACAGTAAGATGAAATTATTCACATTTAAAAACGAACCGATTTTCTTTGAGTAGCAGTTCTGCACCACCATATCATTTAGAACTGTCTCAAGATTGTTAACGATGGTGAAGCTAAAAATAAATGGGGAAAGTCGGGCGTTCCTGCATTAACCTTTTGGAGGTTTTGAATGAGTTTGTTTCACGTTCTTACTCTTCTCGATGTGTTATACGTTATTGGTTCCTAAGGGTCTATCAACATATTCGTAGCATCTTACGAACGTGAGTTGGAGACGCATCACAGTGTAGTCACTCTTGGATTTCAGCGTTGAAGACTTTGGTATGATATTCCTAAAGTGTATTCAAGCTACATAAACTGGTTTTATCAAACGTTTAGCAAATGACAATGTATGCTTTACCCAACATCGCTGAATCTTTTACTTAGAGAATATGGCCAATGTTTGTTGCCTGACAGTGACAACGTTTGTATTTCAAAAAGTCAAAATTTTGTTTATCCATAAATCCAGAATCTATAATTACATTTATACACTAAACTTAAGTGTTATATTTGACTCGTGGGATGCGTTCGTACGATTTATAGTTCTCTACATAACAATCAGCACTATAATATATGCACGTGCTTGAATCTTTAAAGCTTATCTGAATTTGTTTTGACGGATTCGTTTATAAAGGTCTCAAACAGTCGTTGTGTGGTTGGGTCACTAAGATGATTGTATAGCGATTTTATTCATATTCGTTCACGTTCGTTTTTGATAATTAGTAAATGCACCATTAACTAATCTAAAAGTTTTCATCTAGAGATAAGATTTATAAGTATAATTTGTTATTTCAACTGTTCATCATATCCAAAATTTTGGGAAATGTTGGTCGTTCATCTTGTTTCGCTTGTATTATTTATTTCAGGTTCTTCGTGCCGCTGAACAAGCTCATTTATGGTCGGAACTAGTATTTCTTTACGACAAGTATGAAGAATATGACAATGCCATCCTTACGATGATGAGTCATCCTACTGAAGGATGGCGGGAAAATCACTTTAAAGACTTAATAACACGAGTAGCCAATGTTGAACTGTACTACAAAGCTATCCAATTTTACTTAACCTATAAACCATTGCTTCTGAACGATTTATTGATGGTTTTATCTCCACGTTTGGATCATACACGTGCAGTGAATTTCTTCATTAAAGCTGGTCATATAGCATTAGTGAAACCATATTTACGTTTTGTTCAACAAAATAATGCAAACAATAAGTCTGTAAATGAGGCACTAAACGATTTATTGATTGAAGAAGAGGATTACCAGGTAATTATCATTTTCCTACATGTTTTTTTATGATTTAAAAGCCTAATTTTTGTTTCATATTTGTTTTGGAATTTGTATTTTATGAGTTGATTAGTTTTTCTGTAGCTTATGAGCTTTCGGGTTCGTCTAATTATCTGCGCTTCATTCATGTCTTCATCTTTAAGATGGTTGGCTATTTCAGATTAGTTTATAAGTTAATGATTATTATAACCTTATTCACTAGCTAGCTTAAATATATCCGTATTTAATTTCGTATGCCTAATGTAATAATAACAATAGTACTAATATCAGTGTTTATGAACCTGCTACCATAAATCCTTAGTTGGTCATTTTCTTTCCTTTGTTGATGATTTTAGGCTTTAAGGCAATCTATTGAAACTCATAGTAATTTTGACCATATTGCTTTGGCACAGCAGCTAGAACGTCATGAACTTATTGAATTCCGTCGCCTTGCTGCTCTACTTTTCAAAGGTAGCAATCGGTGGATGCAAAGTATCGAACTATGCAAACGTGATCAACTGTACTCCGTGAGTTCATTTTACTTCACATCTAATCATTTATTGTACAACATCAGTTGAATATTGCAAAGTTGTCTTTCAGCAGTTTAATGCTTATATAGCACGGTTTTCACTGGTGATTGTGTAGTCGATTTTTAAGATTTGCTTCATTCAAGTTTTTTTGGAAATGTTTCAGTCTAAATCTTCATCACATGGGAAACTTGTGTAAAAAAATGTAACATTTCAAATTGTGTGTGATAATATCTTGTGACTTAAGGATGGAGGCAGGCAATTGCTGATTGGAGTAACTTAAGTTCTGGCTTGTCCGTGAAATTCTAAGGTAGTCCCGTCAGGTTGATATCGATCGATGCTTATTTCAGTTAATAAGCAAAGAGAGAAACCTTCCTGCGACTGACATCGTGTCTGGGATTCAGTCATCTTGAGTCCGGGAAAACAAGCAGGTTTTATGCCTGGACGATGTTTTAAAACAGGTGTACTTATTGGTACCCGACACACCATTGTTCTTGCATACAATCATGTTGACCACTATATGTGATGTCACTGTTTGACTGCATAAGGTGTACTGATTAAGTATATTGCACTAATCAGGACTGTCTGTTGGAACTCATACCCGTGTGAGAAAATACATAGCATTGTCATCAGAAGTAACAGCAACTAGGTGTCCACATAGGGTTCCCACTGTCACCATTCTTATTAGAATTTGTTAACGTTTGCTGATGGGCATAATCTTAAGTACCCTACGGGTTGAATTGTTCCTTGGAAGAACAGCTGATGGACCTGGGGTGCGCATATGACATATTCTTGTCAAAATAAGATGGTGACAAAATGAAGAGTTTTCTGAACGTTTAGGTGTTTGGCATGCATTTTGCACCTATCAGATGTAAGATGGCGACCCAGGATTGGTGTGTATCAACTCCTAGTTTAGAAATAGACAGTGAAGTGATCGAATGCGCTGACCACGCAAAATGCCGGTTCGGCATTTGCTAACTTCATATTGCGCCGGTGAGATATCCAGTTACCTGTTGAAGAACAAGTATACTGCTCTGCAATTCACACTGCTATTATACAACCGTGAGACCTGGCCGTTGAATTAGGAGATATGAAGAGATTACATGTTTTTAACTGTAGATGTCTTGATAGCATTACTTATGTGTGACGAAATCGCCGTATGAGCAATGGTGATGTCAGACATATGATCCTAGTTAAGGGAAGCCAATCGGCTGGTGAAGTTATGCACCTTCCCCGACGAAATCGATCTGGGAGTGTGTTGTACGTATAGAGCCACCACCTACCTCGTCCTGATGTTAGGTGCAGTAGGACTAGATGGAAGGAAATCTATTAGTCGCTAAACCAACATATGGCATCAGTCATTATAGTTTCACTCTCTTGGTCCGAATTGTGCATGGAGATGTAAGCAGCCAGTCAATGCATGTGCAACGGTCTGACTTACTACATGACACTTCGACACATCAAAGGACAAACCAGCAAGGTGAAACAGTAGAGAAAAAGCAATCAAACGTTTTAGAGTCATAACAAGAGGGAGGAAAAAAAATAAAGCTAACGATGTTCTATGTGAAGGTTACGTTGACAATGTGTGGATGCTCCACTGTGATCGATTGTAGGCTACATTATTGGTGTTCTGCAACCATCGATTTCATTGGTCACATACCCCGACTAGTCCTCTACACCTTTTAAAATTAATATTCAGAGACTTCATAGACTAACGCCATTTTTTAGTTTGGTTATCTGTAATCGTTTCCAACCTGAAGCTACTTTAATCTTAAATACATCTGACTTCACGGGGAATGATCTACTCCCTAGAGGTCATCTGGTTGACTTGGAGTATGCAGACGATATTGTCCTGCTGGGCAGAGATGCTGATGAAATGCAGAATCTTCTGAACGCATCGAACAGAAATCTGAGTATGTTTGGCATGCGTTTCTGTGGCACCTATCAAATCTAAGCTGCTACTGGTCTGTTGAAGGTACTTCCAGTTTAGTGATAGGAATTGAAGTCGTTGAATGTGTCGACTACTTCATACACTTGGGGTGTTGCATCTGGTCGAACGAGCTGGTTGCTGATAAAACCTCAGCTCGAATACAGAAAGCCTGTTTGGCATTTGTCGAGTTGCGTCACCTTTGGGTCCGGGAGATATCCGACAACTTACGGACTATACGGTGCTGCAGTCCGATCTGTCCTGTTATGTCTGTGAGACGTGACCGTTAAAAGTAGAAGACACGAAGCGATTACAGGGTTTTAATCAGAGGTGTCTTCGTAGCTCTGCTCGCCTGTAATGGAATCACCTTGTGACCAATGTTGGGGTCAGACGAAAAGTAATAAGCAAGACAGGTAAGTCGACTGGGATAGCTTGGTCATGGACTGTACATCTCGGGCTACCGCCTACCTCGACGTACCATGCTAGGGAAAGTTGGATTAGGTTGGAAGAGAGTACAGGGTGACCAGGTCAAGACGTAGTACCAGTCGATAGTCTTTTACTGTTGGTCTGAGTCATGTAGGTGGATGTGGACTACTTGGGGTCCCCGAGACGAAAAGAACCAGCGGTTAAGGACTCTTGGTGACGTGGCTAAAGATCGGTCAAAATGGTGCAGATGTATCTACTTGTTCACATCTTGTGAAGCTAGAATAGTTTCACTAACCGATATCTTCAAATTTTTAATTCTCTCACAACTTTATCTGCTTCGATATCACTCCTGCTATCCACTCGTTTTTTTTGTGTACTACAGTGAAGCGTGGCAACTTTCACTTGTGTCAGTGTAAACCTACTTCGGCTAACATAACGTTAATGAGATGGGTTGTGATAAGGCGTGCGTAAGAAACTTACCAGCCTCCTGATTTATAGGCTTACAGCCTCGTCAGTTGGGGAAATTAGCCAATCGGATTCAATCTTTCACTATAGATAACATAAATTGGTTGATCGATCATCATCATCATCATCATCATCATCAGATGATGATGATGATGAATCGATCATATATTTTCGTGCTTAAGTTTCGGTGGCCAGGGTTTATGAATGAAATAATCACCGGACTCAATCACATCACTTTCTGTTGTCAAACGAAGAACCATTCCAGACCATTACTGGAGCAGCATTCTTCATTCGGGTGGTGAGGAACGCATCCTCAACATCCTCACATTGCGACTAAAGGCATCCAGAAGATTCCACTTTATTAGTATCTTCACATAACAGGGCTATGTAATTTACCTACCCTCAAGTTTGTACTAAAGTCTCACGAAAAAGTCAGACATGGAGAGGCAAACCTTTACAATGAGTCTGATATTTGTATAGATTAACACGTGCCTTTTCTCGAAGCACATTGGTTGATGGTGAAAAGGCTCAGGAGTTTAAAACTTCTTCAAATAATCTATACAGTTTTAATTGCACAGCATAACACTAATTCGCGTAGGGATTTCATGATACCCTGCTGTGTATTATGAATCTGCGATATAGTATATACAACAATTTTGAGAAAATCTCGACCTTCAATCGGTGTGATTCACATTTAATTTGAGTGTTTTGTACCTATACTTAAAATAAACATGTTCGATTTGTTGACTTGTGAGTTTGATCGTTGGTATCTTTACTTAACCAGTTAGCTTTCATGAGTGACATCCTGACATATTGTATCGTTTTTTGTGAAGATGAATTATAGATAAAGTATATAACATACTATGTATTGATTTTTCAGGATGCAATGCAATATGCATGTGATTCTCGAGATCCTGAGACAGCCGAAGAACTACTACGTTGGTTCCTCTCTGAAAATCTTCCAGATTGCTTTGCTGCATGTCTTTACCGTTGTTATGATCTCCTGCGTCCAGATGTCGTCTTGGAACTTGCATGGCGCAATGGGCTCGTCGATATGGCAATGCCGTTCTTAATCCAAACACTAAGAGAACTGACAACTAAGGTTTGTCTTGTGTTCTTGAATTATTTTGCAGTAATATATTGAGTTTTCCATTCCCCAGTATTTCTAACCAATGGCAGGGTGTTTGTTTTGCGAATCAGTTAGTGTTTTGTTTCTATGCATTTTTGAGTAAGTTATTTAGTGCCAATACTGAAATAAAGCTCATTATTAATAGAAACATTAATTATACTTTTCAACAAATTCGTAATTGAAATTGTGTTTGGTTCTTGAACTTTTAACCAGGTCGATCGTTTGGAGCGTTCTGAGCAAACTCGTGCAGCTGAAGAAGAAAAAGCTGAACAGGCGGTTAATCCGTTAGTGATGCGTAAGTTATTTTTTTTAGTAAAACAAAAAAAGCTAAACTACTCATTTACGTATAATAGGACTTCATAATATCACCTCACAAATGCTATATTTGGATATCTCTGTAATCTAGAAATTGATTAGATGATACAAAGGTAGACACGCCGTGATGGTTGTAAGGTATTGATTCCATATAACCCACTTTAACTTGAAAATGTCGCTTAAAACCTTAAAGCTGCTGTGCTGCTTCATGCATAACGTCAGATATATTTCCAAAAATAGGTATCAACTTGTAGCTTTTCTCTAAGAGTATGTTGAAGAAAGAAGCTTATGCTTACTGTCTTTTTTTCTTTCAGGGAATGAACCGCAGTTAATGCTGCCAGGACCAGGAGGAGCTATTCCAACAGCCCTGATTCCACCGACTGCCCCCCCGTTAGGCATGTTTGCCGTCGCGGGAGCACAAATGTATTACCAAACTAACGGACCATCTTTTTGAGCTTTACTTTTTAGCTGTTGTGATATACACATTATCAGACTTTTGTCTGTATATTATCTAACTTAATTTTTATTTTAGCAAAATTGTTTTGGTTTCGTGTTTCCGAATTTATTCTACCGCAAATATCAGTACTGTTAATTGACTGTAGGAGGTTAGTTAATAAAACTATGAGGTTTTTATTTAACATATGTTTAGTAATTCTGGTTTGTATTAAAATTGTAGTCCACTCTACCTCTTAACTTCAGGCGTTGTTTTACACTCAGTGTCTGGAGTATTAAGATTCACATTTTTGTGTAATTAGGTACACTTACTGTGTTGTGATACCGTTCGCCATGTTGGTATAAGTTATCACGATCTTCCTATATTTGGTTATGCTTAATATATCATTTAAATGATGTTTCCAAAGACTTGGAGAATATATCCAACGATAATATGAGTTAAACTTGGTCACTGTGGTTGGATATAATTCCTTATTAAATTTGTTTACTTGGTATAGTGATACAGTATTATTTACTTGATGGCGTGATTATGAGCAAAATAGAATGTCCCAACATACTTACGTTTTGTTTAATGGTCCTAGTCACTATTCTGTTTGGGTTTGCTATCTGTTGACAGATTGGTTTTTACATTCGTAATGTAATCGTGTAATCGATAATTTTATCCTCCTCCTCATCAATCAAGAATCACTCATTTTGAAAACCAACCTTGTTTTCCTTCATACTTAGCGTCGATACATTGAAAATGTAATCGATGAGTGACATGTTACTACCCTTTTGTTCAGTGTTAGTTGACTCCTAACATACCATGATCTATGTCGCTCTGTCAGACAGACGAAATCAACGAAGAACCTCACACACAAGTGTATTGGTTCAAGTTGTCACACTTCACGAAGGTAAACAAAGAACAGATGGATAGAAGAAGAATGATATCCAAGTAGATAAAGGTATGTGAGAAGGAGTAAATACATCTCCACCGTTGTAACCAATTTTCAGCCATGTCGCTAACGGTGCTCAACGACTGATTCCTGTTATCTCGGAGACTTCAGACAGACAGTCTGCATCATCCCACATAACATAGGTCAACAGTCAGGGACTTCATCGACTAGTACCACGTCTTGATCTGGCTGCCCTGAACCCTATTCCAACCTGAAGAAATTTCCTTTGGCATGACATGTCGCTCTGTGACAGTCAATACCTTGGTTACCAAGGTTTCCAATTTCCTGTATTATAGGTGTGTGCGCAGTTACTTTTGATGTTCACTAGTTATTCCTCTGTTGTAGAGTTGTGACGAAAATTCAACACAATTTATCATTTAATACCTTATTTTTCTAGCCAGTAACAAAGATTATGTCTGAAATTTAATTATCTCGAGAAATGTTTTTTCAGTTTAATTTAAAATGATTTTCTTCTATCCTTCAAGGTCTGTTTGTTTTTCTTTTAAATCTTTTAGGCACCTCTTACAATTGCTCTATAAAATGTATTGTCTACAAAGAATACAGCCTTCTTCAGTGATAACCTTTTTAAAGCTGGTAGTAAAAAAAAATTGATGTATTTCGAAATATATTCCAACTATTGTTATTTGTAATTCTGCAACTGACGTTTACTTGCAATCATATTGATTGAAAATGTTTCGCATATGTATTTCGACTACTCATTGACTTCAGCATACATTTATCTTTATACTCAAACTAAGCTGACCTTTATTCATTCCATTGCAATTCATTTGTTTTTAGCTAACTCATCAAATTATTGTTTCATTTACCTATCAGCACACACACACACAAACATACTGACTGCTCTTACTGTAATAACGTTTCCTTCAGAGATCGTTTCTCTCCGTATCTTTTTCATTTTAAAGGTAGGTAACTCTCTTCATCTTCTTGTTTATCTTCATTTACTTCCATATAGCAATTTGGTTAGAGTTCACGTGTTGTTTACTGCTATGTATTTCTCATCCTTTGAAATTGGAGTGCATTTTTCAGTAGTTGAAATATTGCACATAGACGGAATTCTATCATTTCATATGGGGTTAGTTACTGAATCATTCATATTTGTACTTACAATCCTAGGGTAATTTTAATTAAGGTACCGCAAATATTATTTGCTTCTGATGATAATGATTATGTTGTGACTAATCAGGAAAAATACATGATTACTCAATTGTAATTGTTGAGTTTCTTGCTCTGCGGTGACTGATTTTGTCAGTTTATTATTGGTATAGAACATTGCCTATAGTATAGAATTCTTTAGCAAATATCTTATGCAACTTCTCCATTTCTGACTACTTTTTACAGTGAACTTGGTGCGCGTTCATACATAGAGTAATGTGATATTGTAGGTTTCCGTCTAATAGATTCTTGTTTCTTATAGAACCCAGTGGATTTTGTTTCGAACAAACAGCGTACTCAGCTACGGTGTGCACATTCATGCAGCGGGCAATGACCCACATCTGTTGTGTGAAAGTTAATGATACTACCCCCTAGCTGCCAAAACCCTAGCAGGTGGGAAATGGTATCGAACCCATGATCCAGCAGTTAATAGTCATCTCCCCAAATCACTGAGCTACGGTCCACGTTTAGAACAAATAAAATCCATTGGTTTCCCAGAACTGCGCTGAAGGTAAGTATTATGCCAAATGATTACCATTTTCATTCCAAGTTTCAGCATGAATGCAAAACAATGTGTACAATTAAGGTTTTGGGATTGAAATTATATCTGTTAAGTGCTCATGTTTGGGCACTTGTTCTTATGTATATATTCAACTTTCGGAAAACTGGATTACGTCCAGTTTCTCTTGATCTGCTGGGCCATTCGAAGTTGGCCATTAGAAACGTATTTGTGTATCATCATCTAGGCAGAAGTTCTTGTAGCATTTTTAATATATCTGTTGTGTTACGGTTACCGATGACTCAGCAAAGGTTAAAACTGTAACTCTAATGAGTTGTAGTTTTACACTGTAGTCATTAAACGAAAATCTCAATCTTATCTTAGGTAAATAGATGCCTAGTTGTTTCGGTGTAAGGTTCAGTGCATTGAAAGATCGTGAAGAGACTATACGCAATCCACTGAATTACATATAAGTCAGATAACCATTCAGGCTGTGTCCAAAATATTTGGCTACTTGGATTATTTTGTTGAGAAGCATTTGTCATAATGAGAGGAAACTGTTTAGACGTAGCACTCTATTAGCTCTTTACAAGCCCTTCAAATTTTATTTTTCTAAAAATAAACACTTGCATCACCTCTATCGCAGTAAATAGTATTTCTATCTAGCTGAACTTGGATGATATCTAGAAACTCATAGTTACGTTGATTGTAAGCATTTCTGTAAATGACATAGTTTGTTACATTTATAAAAAGTATATTTCAGAAGAGTTGATTTACTTGGAGAGCGTGCTGAAAAGTTAAAATAGTCCGTGTGTATCTCAACTGTTTTGACTCACAATATGCATTTCTAGTCTGTGTTGACAACTTGGTGGTGAAGGTTTTTTGAAGGCGGTGGTGGTATATATTAGTGATCAAGACTGTGACATGGTTTTTTCTATTCAGTCACTGTGCTCGAGTGTAAAACCTGCAATTATTGATTACAGAAGAGTTTAAGTGTATCCTGAAGCATGAACTTGATTTGATGGCAGACTTTACTGGTTGCATTTTAAAGTTTTGTTTCGATTTAACCTTTTCATGATGTAAACTACAGCTCTAGTAATACACCAAAGGACATTCGGTTATATCGTCACAAACCACTAAGTATGGTTTGTTTTCCATTATCAATTGCTATTCTGTCGAAAGTGCATCACAAGCTCTATGGAATCGTAGCATACCTGAGTTGCCTTAGGAAAATATACCCCAACCGAACCTGTCTACAGAAGGGTGACAATCAAATTCTGTAGTGGTAAAAAAAACGAATCACTGTAGTTGAAGCAACCTAGGGCGAAGAAAGTAAGATTGAGCTTGGTAGCTTGACAGAAAATACTCATGTATCAGGTTAAGTTAAATCGTGTGATATACTGAACCTGCAGAAAGTCCAGTCCCAATCTCTGGTCAGCAACGATTAATTCGCGTCGTCACTCAGAGATATCCTGAGTAAGCTGTCTGAAAAGTTGGTCCAGTTTTTCCTGAGTCTTCATTTTAATAGTTGACCAATCGTACAGCTGCTTTTTTTTAAAAACCAGCTAGATTCGCTTTTAAATTGCCAATAAATGTTTGTTCAGCACTTCACAATACCTAAATAAAGAATGAGGTCTTTTACTCTTGCAAGCAAAGTCGTACCTTCCATTTTAGTCTGTTTACTAGAAATGTCACAGTTAAACGGGATCATTTACTGGATAGCGTTTCGGACATAATTTACTGTCCACATTCATATCAGGTAACTCCAACACTTGGAGAAAGACTTTATGTAGTCCTAATTTTCACTACTTTGTGACAAAGGTAGTAGAATTTCCCATATATCTGTGGGTGGAGCAGAATCACTTTTCGATAAACAAAGATTTGGTTATCAATCTCTCCCTCTATCCAACTAAGTTTTTAATACTGTCGCTCTATCTCACCCTATTGTGTGTAGCTGCGCGCATATCTATAGCCGAGCTTTTCTCTAAATTTCTTATCTTATTAGGATCTACTCATCTTGATTTAGCTGTTTTTGTGCTGTTATTATAGCTGACCCTGGTTGACTACTCTAACCTTTTTATTTGACCGTGTAGTCTTTGCAGCGGACTTGGTAAACCAAATTATTTTGCCTAATTGTATCAGTAGGATCATATAACCAACAAAGCTTGTTTCCAAGCGAGTTTATTGATTGAAACCAATAAACTCGTTTGGAAACAAGCTTTGTCACTTTAATCCCAGTCTTATTAAGAATCCTTGTACGGTAATATAGTGGAGACTCAATTTTCTCTTAACCCCATCAACATTATTACTGTTGCTGTTATTGATAACACCTGTGTTGCTGTTACTACTGCTACTGCTAGTATTTTTCTTTCGATTTCTTATGAATTTTGATAAATTTAGGTGGGTAATTATTGAGACGCAAGGCGTTCTTCATGTGTCTAATTACTTGTCACAGATTTCCTGTCGTACTAGTGGGTTTTTCCCCCTATTATTTATAACATTTAACTAAGCCTACTTTTACTGAGATGGGGTGAGAGGATTTGAAGTCTAAGTAGTGATTCAAGTCGGAAGGTTTCCTATAAAAGGTAGTCTCTGAACTTCCTTCTTGTTTTTCTTTAGTCTTGTAATCCAGCACTGAAAACTCACCTTCATCAAATTCGTAGTCATAGATAAATTGGATTGCATTCACTACTGAATTTATAAGTGCCAGGAACCTGTCGATGTGATTAGCGATACCACCGGTTTGTTTATAAGCCTCATGAGATGTAGAATCAACAATTTCCTCTCTTGCAGTCGTTTTCTTATCTTCAGTGTTATTGTCTTCATGAACACGAATACTAAACGACCTAAGATCAGTTTTGAAAGAGATTTTGAAGAATAGTCTGCGAATCGAGTTATTGCTCTGTCAAACATCAATTTGTGTCGTCTTTTTCGCTGTCATTAAGGTGATCTAAGTAAGGATGCTAACACCAATGGTAATATGCAACCTAGTCACTTCGTATATTTCCAGCCGATAGACTGTAAAGTTGAACTATGTCATTCGGTCAGAAATTAAGAAACGCAGAATCAGTTCCATCTAGTGACATTTCCGGTCACTAGGACAGCTATTTTTGCCATTTTGTGTACTTGTTCGTCCGCGTACAAAAGATGAATTCGTGTAGTTTAATGGCAACACATTTCGATACTGTTTTTAATTCAAAAATAACACAAGTGGTGGTATTCGTCTTGGACTGACATCAGTCGGAGAACCTTTGAAAGCCTAGGAGACAATGGACAACATTTTTTGTCCTAGCGTGAGGCTCCTCAGCAGTGTGCACCCACAACTTGACTGCTGGTTGCCTTATCAGTTCATCTGCAGCTGTGAAGCTAGACACAGGCTGTACGCAGAGACAGATTGTTCAGTGTCAACGTGATTGCCTTCCAGCCTGGTTGAGTCAAAATGAACTTTGATCAATCAAAAGTTCTATCCGATAGTAAATCAGTAGGGAAAGCACAATTACTCAAGATTCATTTCTTTTGGTCTACAAAATTCAAAAGCAGCTTTCAGATGGTGAAAAATTAACGTTTGTTATGCTTTGTTAAAGCTCTTGCTACATGGAATTGAAAGCCAGAATAGTGTTCTCCAAAGTAAGTTTGCTACTTTCCTCATCCTCCTATTAACGTTATTATTCAGCAAATCTACATAACCCTTCTTTCATGTTTCGAGTCATTGACTGACAAATGCTGACGTTTTATAGCATTAAAAACACGTCGTTATTAAATATTCATATATCTTTGTGTAGTCTGTGGAAATGAAATCATCGAAAACAGATTCTTTGTCTTTCTTTTTATATGATTTAAGACGTAGCATTCAAACGTCTGCTACACATCCAACGGAACGAGTCAGTGTACTGCAAACATATGTTTCTATCGCGAATAATGAGTTTGCAATGAAAAGAATTATGTCATATAAGGATTAAGCTGTGATTGCTATTCATACTCAGTATACTGTTGGTGAAGTCTTATTACATTGATAATTCTTTGTTTGTAGCGTCTAGTTTAGGGATTACGCTCTCAGGATTGCTGCTTTTATGAACACCAAATTTTACTGGAAAATGTTTTGTTTCAGAACAGCCGTGGGAGATATCGAATTCCGTGTATTATTAGAATC